GAAAGGAATAACCACCATTCTACATGGATGATAAGGTATGGTTACTTCATCACAATATCAAGACTACTTGTCCTTGTGATAAGTTGGACTATTGTAGGCTTGGACCATTTCCTATATTTGTACAAATCAATAAACTTGCATATCATTTATACCTATTGGAATCAATGAAAATCCATCCAGTATTCTATGTGTCTCTTCTTGAACCATACAAGATAGTGGACATACCAAAAAGAAGACAAGATCCACCTCTTTCTATAGAAATGGCCAATAATAAAAAGTTCAAAGTGGAAGAAATATTAGATTCAAGGCAATGCCAAAATAAATTAAGATATCTTATCCATTGGCACAGATATGATATTAGTAAATGGACATGGGAGCCAGTAAAGAATCTTGCAAATACAACTAAGGCGGTGGAGGCTTTTTATTGAAAAAATCTATCAAAATCAAGATAAAAACCTTTCATATAAAAGAAATAAGATCTAGGCAAGATAACATTCTACTTTCAATTCTTATTTGTAGCTTCTTTGTAGTTGTGACGCTAAGGAGATAGAGAACCAATAACCAACAAATTTGATTGAAGAACCTTCATTTGCTCACCTATCAGATGAGACATTGTGATTGTCACAACCTTCAAGATGATGCAATCAAGATGAAGATCTTCAAGAATGTCATATTTTTCCTCAAATAGATGGCAAGATAAAACGCGTTTGATATCACAACCTTGAAAAGGACTCTCGATGTTTGGTGATTTTACTAGAGGTAGGAACAACTCTTGACAGTGTTTTAAATGTTTTATTTGAATGAAGTTATAAAGGCCTCAACAATTATCAAATAACAGGGTAATCTTCATGCCCTGGTATGGGACACTATCAATGGTGGAGAGGCCCTATCAACCATCTTTGAAGAGAACAAAGATCTAAATATGTGGCGAATACAATTTGTTGCATCATAGATTTTCTCAATATATGATGATTGCTCCTCGTGGATTTCATTCCTAGAAGGGGAGATAATGTCATGGACATACACATATAAGCTAGTAATTACTTGTATAAATAAGTAGAAGTAAGTAGAAGTATATAAAAGTAAGTTAATTCTATAATAATTCATATAAAAGCTTCCTAAAAGCTTCATAGATGCTATTTTGGCTTTATAGGTGTCTATAATTGACTTTTTGGATTAAAAAAGTGATCAATAAGTTGGCCATGTACCACATATATTGTTAGCTTGAAGACCAAGCTAACTATGTAGCTTATATGTAGAAAAACTTGCCTCGTAAGTCAAGGCATGTGTCCTACAAAGTCAACACATATTAGAAGTCCTATAGAACATTGCTATGTTGCCCCTAATTAGATAGTATATATAGAAACAAGAGTGAAGCCTTCTTCACTCTTGTCAACTCTTTTCTTGCTTCTAGTCTAGTTTCAAGAGTCTCAAGTTTCCTTGTCTTTTGGCGATAAGCCATTCTAGTTTCTTTTTAATATACATACTTCCTTATTTCTATTTTATTACTCTTTCTTTGATATGGATTTCATTGGTTTATGCATCACCTTTTAGTTCATGTCCTTGATACATAGTGAACTTAGAGTTGACTCCAAATTCTACCACTAAATATTTTTTTTGTTAATGTAGATACATGTGCTTTAGACTTTACTTGCTCTAACTCAAAATCCATAACTTACTTCTTAACTTTGTCTACAAGAAAGGCCTAACTTGAGGAGTTGCAATATGGATCTAATAGTAGATTTTTTTAAATTACTAATACTAACGCCAAAGGCATATATGAGCACTATAAAGCAAATCTATGAGTAAAATCTTGAATAAGAAATAGAAAAAGAAAAAACTTTAATTTGAAGAGAAGAATCAAAACAAAAAAGATTGGTAGATTGAAATGAAAAGAAGATTTTAAAAGAAGCTTATCAATGCAATATGGTAGAAAGGTGCACCCATAAAGCGACGGAGTGGGAAGTTGTGCACAAAAAGACAGATGAGGATACATTGGCAAGTCTTGTATGTGGAAGCTTATACATTATGAACTATAGGTGGGGAGAGGGGGGTTGCAAAAAGTATCACAGCAACCAAGCGCTTCAATTCTAACATAAATTATAGAGAGAGGATACAATTTAGAGCTTCTATTTTAATATGCAATCTTATTAGATTTGAATCCAAGATAACATGTGCCCTTGCCATGTATTAATTTTCAACATGTACCTTTACCATTACCATGTACTAATCCAACACATGGCTTGCATCTCAATACTTTATTGTAACTTCCAGTATATGGCTTGTAACAATACATTTCATTGCAATTCTCAAATTACAGCTTGTAATAGTGCATTTTATTGCAACTCTCACTATACAGTTTATAACTCATAAGCCACACTCATTTTTTGTTTGAAAGTCCATTTTAGAATTATATCATATTTATACATTCTATGCTACAATTGCAGCAGTTGCCTATCTACCCAAATCTTACACAATTGCAACACATTCTAATACTATACCAATGACCTATAAATCCTAATATCAAAGAAAGATCTTAAGAAAACCATTGGAATAGGACCAAATGATAGAAGATATGTGAATTAAAATTTAGAGATGAGCAAAAACAGTGAAAGTTGGTTGCAAAAATCTCACTCAAAAATGATGGATTACTTACAACCAAATGTTTGAATTTTGGTCGCATCATCCACACATTAGCATCTATAGATAGTAAAGAATTAAATGAAGCTTGATAGCATAATTAAATACTATACTTCTCAATTACAAAAAAGAATGATTATTGATTTTGTAACCAACCACTTGTCAAAATTAAGTTAGCTTATATGTCAAATTTGTGTCTAGGAAAATCTTTACTTAAAACATTAATAGAAATTCTTTTTTTAGGCAAAATTTTGTTAAAATACTTGGAATCTTCATAATTTCTATTTTTTTGTATGGAAAATTTATTTGATTTTTTCATAAACTTATTGCATATATGCTAAAATGCTTAAGTTATCAAAATGAGTTGGCTACATTACATTGCATCTCACTCTAGTTTTTCTTGTGTTCTTTTAAATGTCAAAAAACAAAATAATTCTTTGATTTTATATCTTAAAAAGTACTAGGGTCCTATCCAAGTATATTTCATTAAGAAATTTGGTTGCAATAGAGACTTTATTCATCACACACTATAAGTTGCACAATTTTTCTTTTGAAAAAAGTAACAATACCAAGTCAAAAATAACAACCATAAATTTTTTAAAGAAAAGAGTCTTGAGCAAATAGAGAATGTTGAGGCCAAAAAAACAATAAACCATATTATAAGGACCATGTGTTTTTCTATGGTACTTGAAGATTTGATAGTAGTTTGGAAGAACTAATGACATAAGGCATTATTAGAACTTAACTATAAAATTTTACAAGAGTTTTGAGATTGCACAATAAAGTGGTTCTATTATACCATAGATCAAATGTTTATTTTTTTTTCAAAAAGAAATTTTGTAAGATGTGCTGATACATAAAGCCCATCTTAATCAAATTAAAAATATATTTATGGAGTATATATTGAGGTTTTTAAGCACTCAAAAAGGTTGTATTTTTTTGTTGTAGTATAGAGAATTAATTTAGGCCTTATTCTTTATGTTGTGGCAAAATTCAAGATAGTCAATAATAGCAGTGTAAAATGTTCTTAAAGTGTTCATAGATCACCTTAAAGATTCTCAAGAAATAAGTAGAAATGTGTTTCTAATGTTAATCATAAAATAATAAAACTTTTGTTTGGTTTCAAACATGTTAAGAATTTCCCCCTAAGCTTGAGCAAGTTATAAGAATTTGAAATAAATTGGCATGATAAAAAAACACTATCTAACATATATTATATAGATATACATGTTAAGAAAACTGTCACTTAACAAATAAATGCATGTATATATATATATATATATATACCTAAGAAAAGCTTTGCCTAAAATGCAATGCAATTGTCCCACGTGTGCAGAAATTAAATACAATTGACAGAAAATGTTTTCTTGTTGTAGCACTGTAAAATGAAGGCTTTATCTATGATCACTTAAGACTTGATTTCATCTTATGTAGAAACTAAAATAAATAAATGAACCAGTATTAAATACCACACTTGCCCAATGGAATAAAGTACCATCATTTTTAACTTTTAACTGAGGAGATATTGATAACAAGGATAATATGATGCTAACACAACATTTATCAAGATTTTTTAAGGGGTTAAAACTCAAGATTAATATTTAAACTCAAAGCGCAATTTAGAAATTACATTAGAGCGTGGCAATACAGCTGCCCTATTTCTAATGTTTGTGAGTGTACACAAGGTAAGATTAGCACGACGGACTCTGCATGAATTGCCCTCCTTTTTCTCTAATGCAAACTTCAGACAACCAACTGGACCTGACAGCTGGCAAGATAACTTGGGATGCAATCTGTATCATAAACCATTAGCAAGGCAGCAGCCAAATGGACAGAGTTGGATGAATTCTCGATGTGCCGAGGCATATCTTCAACTCCATTACGAAGTCTTGGATGTAGGAGCCACACTGGAGGTTGTGAAAAATAAGAAACACGCACATTTCACTGAACACGTGTTAATTCCAGTTCTATCATACAGTGTTGTACGACCTTGGAGTAGACTACAAGACACATGCCACGACACATGATCTGAAACTCAATTGAACTAGATGACACCACAGGTGTATCCAGTCTCCCACTGAGTTACCTAGATAATAAGCACGGTTCCTGTAAATACTACTATCATGGTCAACCTTACTTCAACTGTGTGAAGTAACTGATGATCTATGGAATTGATCTTCCAATCCGATTGCTTTTCATACTTCAGCAAGTATGAAACTGGCAGTGCGAGACTTCGGAAACCGAAGTGCAGACTAAGACAGACTGAAGGAAAAGCAGAGAACAAACATTATTAAGAAGTTCATCCTGTACCTAAAACTCAGATAGACCTGTGATTTACCACTTCCAAGCAGATTCCAAAATTGACATGAGACGGGAACTGTCTTAACTATTTCCGGAAAATACAGTACTTTTGTCCATTAAATTTGAGCAGCACTTCAGAAACGCTTATTCTCTTCTAGGTGTGACCATACCATCTCTGCAAGAGAGAATAATAAATGCAGAGACTGCACTCACATCTTCAAAGACAAAAATTACAACGCAGAATATCTTTCTAGTCGTAATCACCAACTTGCAGAGGAATCCTCATGAGCAGGGGAACGACAATCCATCTTTTCAAGGCTTCAAAGCCAAAGCCAAACCTATCTTCGCTGTCTTATCCAAAGACTTAGTGTCCACCTCCCCAGAGAACGTGATCAAAGACTTCGGCCTCCACTCGTGCTGGAGCAAGGCTGCCAACTTTCCATGGTTGTTCAAACGTGCCTTCACAGTGGTCAAAGTATCCAACTCGTAGAGACCTCCGACGGTAAAGGTGTTCTCGTTCTTAGAGAACTTGTGGGCGATTTCAGCAGCCACAGTTGTTCTGGATACTGGGCTCACTGTGTGAAGGTAAGAAGCCTTGAGCAGATCCCCCTTCTCAGCCCTACGTACGACAGCGGCAGTCTTCTTAATTAGGGAAACGAAACAAGTAGGACGCTATGGAAAGGAATTTAAGCGGGAGCGAACCTCACAATTAGGGCCACTAATAGCTAATTTCACATAGGTTTTACTTACAACATCAAGGAAGCGTTGAAGTCGGGCTTCACGAAACCGACACCAGCATTGTACTTGATGAGGGATCCAGAGGCAGTATCAAAGGCAAGCTCACCACCGACAGAGAATCCCTCGTTTCCGAGAGCTCCAGTGGCCTCCACAATCGGTGAAGGAGTCAAGCCAATGGAACCGCTAATTCCACAGTAGTCTTGCTTGTACAGAAGCTCAAGCTGTACAAGTGAGAGACTCGTTACTACATCGTGAACCGCAAAATTCATAAACCCCAAAAAAATTTACTAAGGTAACAAAGCGTTAATACCTTGCCAGACTTGTGGTCGGGAATAGTGAAAGTGAACACACTCTTGGCTCCAGGTGCAAATTCGTCGACGGTGACAGTTGCAAAGATCTGTAGAACAAGAATGGATGACACATTAATTCAGACTAAACGAAACTTGTGAAAAAAATTCCTAGTTATAGAACAACGAGCATTTCCTACACTCGAAAGCAGCAAGCCTTACGTTCGACTTCGTGTCAACTTTGACATCGGCTGTCACGTTCTTGTTCTTGAATGAGGTGTTCACATCTCCTGAAAATCCCTCTCCCCTCTTTACTCCAGTGGAGGTGAAGGCCTACAGCAAAGAAACACCTTTCATTTTAAAACCGTGCTGCAAAGCATCAACAGTACAGACTAGCTGCAAACACACGTCGATCGTGATCCAATCATAAATTGAAAAGATGAAATATCAATACCGAAATGACCAGGAAAAGTTTACCAGTCCAGATTGTGTGTTTGTGGTAATGACGAACTTCTGGTCATATGTGTAGTCCTTGTTGAGAAGATCTGTGGACACAATGTCAAGGAGTGTGATTAACATGCACACATAGACTTCTCGTTGAATTCAAAAAAACTCACTTCACTGAGTCACAAATGGACAATGTAGACGACGAACACGCCGTCCCTCAGATCGTTTGGAATAAAAAAGAATTTTCGAGGTATATCATAGCATCAGAAGCAGGAAACGTCGATGGAGAGATGCATCATTGGCTGATAATATAAACTGGTACACAAAAGCTGACGAATAACCCTAAGGGATTTCTCGTTACAAACCTTTGGTCTTCTTGCCAATGTCCGAGTACATTCCTGGTCCCTTGCCCATGGTGACCTGCTCGACAGACCTCCGATGTCGAGGAAGCAGGGGGGATGTTTAACCTATCACTGCATCGAACGAAAGATGAAAAGGATTACAGATATGTTACTAAAAAAGGTATTTAGATGCAGAAAAAACTCTTCAACCTAGCAAAGAATTCAGTTCAGTCAAGGCGGATGATTCGATCATGAGAAATTACGAATGTGGGTTACGCAGTACGGAATCTGACCAAGAACAATATAGTTATCTCACATCTAGATTCTAGGAGAACCAGCCGAGAGGTAAAAATCACAGATTTACACTTCAAAGAAACACGGAATTAGATTAAAATTTCAAGGAGAAGCCAAGCGCTACAAGAATTCCCCTCGCTCTGAATGTAATACTCTTGACCCATATTCTTGTCACAGAGTAGGAATGATCAACGAGGACAATCACATCGCCTCAATCACGACCAGAAAACGGCATCACACAAACCCACAAATATATTCCCAAAGTTCACCCCTAACCCACCAACACTCAGAACCCCCCTATCTCATCAACCCATGGTCGTTTACATCTCGTTCTCATGATCACTTCACCGACACAGGACAAACAAAAAAACCAAGAGAAAAAAACCCCTAGCAGAAACAACAAACCAATAGAACGATTGCAAACGACTCACAATGCAACCCGCCATCCATATACAACCAAACCCTGGTCCCCCACAACACAACAAACACCAAGCTACGGCGAAAGACACATTGAACCAATCGGAGACACAACAACCAAAAACTCCATCCAACAAGACTATCAGATGAGAAAAAAGCAGAACACGAAAACACACAACCCCATTCCAAATACGAGACTTGCAAACAACTAACCACGTCCCGTCAAGCTACTACACTGGGAGGTGCCGGTCACGGCTACAAGGAACCAAGACGTCGAAAGAAAGCGCGGTGAGCAGGCAGAAAGACAAGGAGGGGGGTTAGCGAAGGAGGAAAGGGGAGGGTGAGAGAAAGAGAGAGAGGATGGGAGGAGAGAAGGAAGCAACAACTCACCGAGAGAGAGGAGCGAGCAGGCAAGCAAGCAAGCAGCGGAGGGAGCGAGAGAAGGGCTGGCTCACGGGAAGACAAAGGGGAGCCTCGGCAGGTGGGCCGCGGAGGTTAGGGTTAGGAGGTTGCGATACAGCCACGGGCCATCCCCGGTCACATCCCGGTCACCCCCTCCTCTCTTCTTGCTCCACTCCCCCCCCCCGCCAGCACCCTGCCCCTCTCGGATGGTAGGGGTTGCTCCACCCCACCTGGCCCTATCCCCGCTTCTGTGCCCTTTTCCCACTTGCGCGGCCCCACGAGTTGCCTTTTATCCCTCTTTTCCACTCCACCGCGTGTGCGGGAATCTGAATGTGAATATTCGTCGTATCTCTTTTTAAACAAAAAATGTGCATTTATGTGGATTGTGGGTTTAGGGTGAGGCCATGTGTTTGTGATGTGCTTTGTTCTATGAACCATAAATGTTGATAACATGTGAATATTCTGATTAAAGTTTCTGAAACACATCAAATGATATCTTTATTTTATTTTATTTATTTCTCTTTTAATGTTGTATTTTTGAAATATGTTTTCTTTTTGTAGGACCTCGTTTGATTTTTTGAAGTTTGAAATAAGTGCACAACCTTCGTGCAGATCATTAAATATATTTGAATTCCAAAAAAACTACTTAAGTAATAGTGATGAATATTGTTCTTAGTCAGTGGTTGTAACACTTAAATAACTTTATCATTAAAATATGTTGTAAAAAATAAAATGTATGGCTTCTATTAAAGAGTTATGATATTCATATGAAATTGTTTTGTGTGTATAAAAGTTTTTGAAAATGTATTTGTATTTGTATTTTAATAAACTGTCTGTTTCTTTTCTGTATTCAAGTTGGACAACAAGTTAGTAAAAAAGTGTCGAAGTTGTTGTGTGCTTGTTTGCATTCGTTAGTATCATCCAGTAAGATATTATACTCTTCATCATTTTGTTTATTTCAAAAAATTTATATATTTTAAATTTTTTATAGAACTGTCGTAACATCATTGGTGTAATTTTTTATTAAATCGAAAAATAAAATTTCAAGACAAACTTAGTACTTGATGCAAAACTCATGGAGCAAAACATGTCTCACAGTTGTGAAACCAAACAGTCAAATAAAATTTTTGGTAAAATAAAGTTCATAAACCATATATATATATATATATATACATCCACACACACACAGCTGAAACGGTGACGGTGCGTCTGATCCGGACTTTATCCTTACCTAAGGTTGCAAGTGTGTGTCTATGATCCGAAAATTACTGACCAGATTGCAGTGTTTGCACGTGGGGTTCCAGATTCGACGGTTTCCTGAAGTCTGGAATACTAGCATTCGGGAGTTCAAGAAAGCATCAGAACCTTTGTCTCTGCCGTTGCTTTTCCTAGCGAGTCGGTGCTTGGTCCGAATCTCAGAGGGATTTATGAGTTTGGGGATGTTGGAACGGTGTCCTCTCATTGTGTGTGTGAGAGGGAAATAGATATGCACACCAGGCATGTGGGTTGGGGTTAGTTCGCTTCAGGTTGCCTCTGCAAGGTTTTGTGTGTATGTGGAAACTGGCGCTGAGATCAGGTCTAGGTCTCTCGTATGGCGTCTGCTGAGCTGGTCATTTTGTTGACTGGTTTGTGTTGTGTAGAGTCGGATCTTAGAGCTTGTGGTTTTGTTGCGGTAGCGTGGTCTGGTTGGTGAAGAATTCGAGACGCGAGAATGCATCGAGGACAGCTTGCAATCAAGTGTTGAGAAGCCAAGCCGAAGGTTTAGGAAAGCTGTGCCACTGCAATCTGGAAGTCGTAGCTCTTGGAATCTGCCCTCGAGAAGCGTCCCTTGTGCTTCCTTCGTGACATTAGCACTTGGCTAGTTGATTCATACCTTCTGAACATGGCTCTGTTGATTAAAGAGTTCCAGAAAAAAAAAAAAAAAAAAAAAAAAAAAAATACACATAAAACAAAACAAAACAGTCATAATTAAACATTAAAAACATGCGTGTGATCATGAGCGAAGCGCAACGTAGTGACCCTAAGTTCCAGTCTATGTCAACGTCGTTGTTCATGTCAATGTCAACGCCACACAGGACAATTGGCACGAGAATCAATTATCTCGGGTGCACCAGTTCGAATGTCACCGTCGGGATGATGTACGTGAGACATTGAAAGCTTCCTCTTCAATCCAATTCCAATCCTTTGCAACACTCTTCCATCCACGGATCCAGTGGTTACTATATCACGTATGAGGAGTTTTAGATTATGATCGTCTACCTGTGGAAGTTCTGCTCCACGGGGACAAGAAGCAGAGATTACAGTCCACGCCCGAATTGGCGCCCCTAATAATTTTATGAGAATCCAAGAAAGGCAAGCGTGGAATAAGCTTAAATATGATACCCGTAATCGTCTAGATCAAAACTCATCCATGCTGCAATCATGTCGATGTAGGTGTCTGGACATACTGGATTGTGCCGAGGGGTTGTGTTAATTCGAAGGAACACCACATCATGAAATCTACGGGTACTAACACGAAGCAATTTTGGGTCCTGGGTTCCAGTTGATTGTGTCCTCAGGCACATTCTCCAATGGTAGTTAATAGAGGGCCTGTGAAACTGAAACTGAGTGTGAGAGGCACATACCACCAGTCAGAGTCGTTATGATATGCAGTCAAAGTCAATCATCCAATACTTGTTGGAAATATATTAACTTATATTGAAATGATCAATCATTTACACATTGTAATGTGAGTTCAATAGTCTTTCCAAGAGTCACAATTCTAACTATAGAGTCACAACTATTGGTCTATGTATTTACACGTATGACTAATGTGCTATATTATAGAATAATCCCAATATTCCTACTTGAACACTAGTCATCACCCACGTGAATGCTTATATCTCAAAGGCTTAGGATTTGAGGCTCTTTTTTTTGTTGTTGTGAAGCCCCTGTGCAGCTCTCCCATTGCTCCATCAAATTTGAGTAGGTGATGAGCACACATACTTTTCTTAAAGTTTCTTTTAATTTTTGATTGATGTTTTGTAACCATTTGTAGTTAGATCTTTGTAGTTGCCCCCATCTGTATTTATTTGTGGGTGAAGGTAATCCATGAGTGCTGATCTCCTTGTGTGATTTTTGATGACCATATCTACTAGTGTAAGCAAATCCTTGAATCATATTTTTTTTGCAAATGTTGGTGCGATTGTTGCCGGCGTTAAGTTGGATGCAGTTGCGGCTACCGGTAGAGGCGTCGATGCAAAGCTTCCTGATACAGTTGTTATGGCAATCTTTCTCCTTCGAGCATAAGCACAAGCATCAAAACTGGGCATGCTAAAGTCAAACCGGTGATGTGTTGTTGGTTTTGAGAAGTGTGTACTTTGATAATTGATTGCCGAATTCCAAAGCCAGCTTCAGATTTCCAACCTTCGATGGTAGGGGAGTCAGACATTGTAGAATGTTCAGCAGTTTCTTGTGTGGCTTCTTGCCGATTGCGGTGGTGCATCAATTGCAGCAATTGGAATGCATAACAGTAGCGGGACTACACAACTGCGGGACTGCTAGCAAGAGCTGGACTTAGCAGCAGCGGGTGGTGCGACGGTGAATGCCGTTGATGCTACCAATGGAGGCACCAATGTAGCTGCTGGTGCTGAAGGAGATTCTGCTGTTGGTTCCACAAACCTTGCTGGTACATCCTTCATAAACTCATTACTGCTGATTTAAGTATTTTGGTTGTTGATCTACACTTTAATATTTCTTGGATAATTATAAATTGATTTACTGGTTGGTCTCTCACTCTATGAGTTAGCAAAGTGTTGTTGTTGTAAGTTAGATTTTGTTGGATAGGTGTGGTGATAATATTGTGGTGGTAATATTGTGGTGGTTTAGAATAAACCATCAATGCTTGAATTTTTGTAATAGAGATCTCTTGTTTGATGAATTTAGAATAATTTTGAGGAGTTGTATACATACATAGTTGAGAGATGCATTAAAAATGTCTATCTTTAGAAAGAGACTTAGTAAAAATATATGCTATCATATGTATGGTTGACACATATTAAAGTTGAATTTGCTTTGTAAGTATCTTGTCTATTGTAAAATTATATCAAGTGTCTACACGCTTATTTTGTGAATAGTATTTAAGATTTTTACTTAAAGCAATGGAAAATTGAATAAATTATTGTTAGTTCATTTTGAGAAAAGCCTAGCTTATTTAGTAATTTTTAGTATTTTACTTTAGTTGTAGCCTTAGTCAATGCCATGTATTCTAAATCTATTGATGATAAAGCTACTAATTATTATTTCTTGTTGTCTTAAGAAATAACAACTCTTGCAAGTAAGAAACAAAAATCAAAAGTAGATTGGCAGATGTCATTGTCACTTGCCTAATTAACATCAAAAAATCTGTGTAGAAAGTCTAGTTGTGGTAATTTTTAATATTTTATGCTAAAATTTAGTATAGCTTTAATACATCTTATTTTTTGTTTCAAAATTTAAAAATGTATAGGTCTTGGTTTAAATAGATATTGTACTAAATTACTTATTGCATAAGAATAGTCAAGTCTAGAATTTACAATAGCATGTATGAAACTTCTAATAATTTGTGAATATAGATAATCATGTGAAGTAAGATTTTTTATTTTTTATTTTTTATTTTTTTTTTATTACTGAAACAAATTCTTGGTTATATAGGCATATTTAATAAATTACAATTTAACATAATAAATTTGTTAAGCTCATTTATTAAATATTTTTGTTAATAAAAGATTATACAATATTCTTTTTTATTTCATATAATGACATTGTGTAAGGTATACTATATTTCATCTTCACTTGATATATCAGATTCTTATTGTAGGATTTCTTTGACTAATTGAATTAGAGCAATCTTATTCTTAACAATAATATAAATATCAACCTATATTGTAATAAGTGTAAAATCTTTGTCATTTTTTTATAAAAATATTTATATTTGATTCTAAAAATTGATATTCTGAAAAAT